TGATACGGTGGAGATGTACCAATACATAGATCTCGAAGAGATGGTACACTTGGCCATAAAGGTGGGGAAGCAACTAAAACAAAAGAGGATGCAAGGTAATCCATTTAAACCTTTTCCAATTGTAGGGTTGCCTAAAATGTCATTTCCAAAACATATCAACAAAGGCAAAGATGTAACATGAGTTGATTCGATGTGCCCTAAGCCACCAACAAACACCCAAAAGACCACCACCTGTAGCCAGATGTGTTATGTTTCAAATGCCAAGGCCGAGGACATTTTTCGAATCAATATCCAAACATAACACATCTGGCTCGGATATCTTATGACCTCCGATGAGTACGAATCTGAATAAGAAACTCAAGATATCAATGAGGTGAATTCCTACGATCAAGAGGCTGAAGAATCTATACCGCAATCCAATTTGACATTAATCACTATCCGAGCTCTTAGCACCCTTCCAAAGGAGGGTGAAGAGACTGAATAATGCAAAAAATTATTCCATAGAAGTTGTAAAATTGCGACTAAGATATGTAGTCTTATCATTGATGGTGATAGTTGTACTAATGTCATTAGTGACCTCGCAGTGAAAAGACTTAATTTGAGGATGAATTTGCACCCGAGGCCTTACAAACTACAATGGCTCAATAATTGTGAGGAAATCAACATCACCAAACAAGTGTTGGTGGGAATTGAGCTATAAGGTTATAAGGATGAAGTAAAATGCGATGTAGTTCCAATGCAAGCATATCATATTTTTTTGGGAGGCCATGACAATTTGATAAATAAGTTGTATATGATGGCCGCCATAATCGAAATACTTTCACAAATGCCGCCATAGTTCTAAAGTTGTTGAGTCTTCAAGAAGTAAATGAAGATAAAAAAATACTTGTACAAGCAATTTGCCGCCAAAGTAAGAGAGAAAATGAAACCAATAGAAAGACAACAAGATGGTGAACTATGTCGTTGAATCAACTCGATGTGAGGAGCCCAATTTGAAGTCCTCCTTAAAATCACCGCAACAAAAGGTACTCCGCATGCGAGTATATCTACTATCTCACATAGCCTAACTACCCCACAATCTCTCAAATCTGCACCATCATCAATAAATACATCTACCCTAGTCACTCTCAAATACTCTACCATTCTACTGAAAAATCAAACAACGATAGTGATTCAGGTTGGAATTTTGTTTACAAAATGTTATTCTAGATCCGTAAGATAAATGAACAGTTTACGAGCTCGATTCGCTTGAGCTCGTTAAAAGTTTGTTTGCTAAGCTAAAGAATCACTATGAACATAAATTTTAACTCGTTATATTTAAGAACGAATCCGAACTTGTTTGCGAATGCTCGACATTATTTGTTACAAAAGTAAATTAAAATTTTATATTTAATAAAAATATATATCCTTATAAATATTATACTTAATTCTAAATTTTTATATAAATTTATTAATAAAAAGTTGTAATTATTATTAATTGAACTTAAATTTAAATAAAATTAAAATTCCTCCTGACGAATCGAGTAAATTCGAACACGAACAAAAATTACTAAATAAGCCAGACTAAAAAAACTTTCAACTTATATCAAAAATCACATATATATGAGAAGTTGTACGGATGGCTACCTGTTTTTACTAAATTACCCTTAATATTGAAACAGTGTACCTTTACATCAATTGTACGTACTGGTAATATTGTGGGCAAGTATGACTAAATTTGTCAATAAACCTCCACGTTGTCAGTTATACTGAAGATATTGGATATTCTTGAGAGTTGTGTTTTTTTCAATTCCATTTGCTATTTTGTAGTGATTTATTTGTACAAAATATATTGATATGGATATCATTTTGTAGATCGTATTCTCTAATACAATAATTTAATTATAATATTCTAATGCTATGATATATAAAAAAATGCATTTGAAATTAATGCAGAAGTTTTTGAATTTGTTGGGCATGCAAAACAAAAAAAAAATTTAATCCAACTGGACGGCTGATCTTACAGAAATAGAAGACATCCGAATTTGGCCAGTCTCAAGTGGTAACCGACCAATTCCCTCAACCACTTCATTTTTATTTCAAAATATCTATATTTATATTCTTTCTTTATTTAAATTTATATATTCATGAGAATGATTGAAAACAACCGTCCAAGAGAAATTCGGTTAGTGATAACTCTTGATTTTGACATATTTTATAGCTTATTTTTATTAAATTAATTAATTATTTATATCAAGTTTTGGTATAATTTATAGTAATTTGATTCAATAATTTTATTTATTGTATTTTGTGTATAAAATATTAATTTATTAATTTTTAAGTTTATTTTATAATTATTGTGTTGTATTAATTAAATTAATTGATGCGTTTCTTAAATTATATTTTTATGCATTAATTATGTTTTATTTAAATATTTAATTTTAGCTAAATTAAATATTATCAGTATATATATCATTTTGTAGAAAATAATTTTTTCATAAAATAGAAAAAAAATTATCCAAAGAAAAATATATATATTTTTAAATTGGTTGGTTGCATATATATATATATAATATATTTATATAATTGATTATATTTATTTCTCTCATCTTTTTTATTCCAACCGATTTGACGGTTCTCCTCATTCTCATCCGACCAATTCAATATATATATAATTTTGTAGCGAATAATTTTTTTAATAAAATAGAAAAAAAATTATTCAAAAAAAATATTTTTTTTAAAAAAATTGATTTGTTGCACAGATATAAATATATATATTTATATAATTTATTATATTTCTTTCTATTATCTTTCTATTCCAACCGACTGACGGTTCTCCTCCTCTTTGTCATCCGACCAATTCAGTATATATATCATTTCGTAGATAATAATTTTTTAATAAAATAGAAAAAATTATCCAAAGAAATATATATTTTTAAATTGGTTGGTTGCACAAATATAAAAAATATATATTTATATAATTTATTATATTTCTTTATCTCATCTTTCTATCCCAACCGACTACTTAGTGGACGGTTCTCCTCCTCTTTGTCATCCGACCAATTCAGTATATATATTATTTTGTAAAAAATATTTTTTTAATATAATAAAAAAAATTATCCAAAGAAAAATATATATATTTTAAAATTGGTTGGTTCACAGATATAAAAAATATTTATATAATTTATTATATTTCTTTCTCTCATTCTATCCTAACCGACTATCTACGACGGTTCTCCTCTTTCCCATCTGACGAATTCAGTATATATATCATTTTGTAGAGAATAATTTTTTAATAAAATAGAAAAAAAATATCCAAATATATATATATATTTAAATTAGTTGGTTGCACATATATAAAAAATCCGACCACAGTATATATATCATTTTGTAAAAAATAATTTCTTAATAAAATAGAAAAAAATTATCCAAAGAAAAATATATATTTTTTTAAATTGGTTGGTTGCACAGATATCAAAAATATATATTTATATAATTTATTATATTTCTTTCTCTCCTGTTTCTATCCCAACCGACTACCTACTGGACGGTTCTCCTCCTTGTCATCCAACCAATTCAGTATATATATCATTTTGTATAGAGAATAATTTTTTAATAAAATAGGAAAAAATTATCCAAAGAAATGTATATTTTTTTAAATTGGTTGGTTGTACAGATATAAAAAATATAAATTTATATAATATTATTATATTTTTTTCTCTCATCTTTCTATCCCAAACGACTATTTACTGCACAGTTCTCCTCCTCTTTGTCATCCGACCAATTCAATATATATATCATTTTATAGAAAATAATTTTTTAATAAAATAGAAAAAAAATTCATCCAAAGAAAAATATATATATTTTTAAATTGGTTGGTTCACAAATATAAAAAATATATATTTATATAATTTATTATATTTTTTTCTCTCATCTTTCTATCATAACCGACTATCTGCGACGGTTCTCCTCCTTCTCATCTAACCAATTCAGTATATATATCATTTTGTAGACAATAATTTTTTAATAAAATAGAAAAAAAATTATTCAAAGAAATATATATATTTAAATTGGTTGGTTGCACGGATATAAAAAATATATATTTGTATAATTTATTATATTTCTTTCTCTCATCTTTATATCCCAACCGATTATCTACTGAACGTTCTCTTAATTCTCATGTGACCAATCCAGTATATATATCATTTTGTAGAGAATAATTTTTTAATAAAATAGAAAAAAAATTATCCAAAGAAATATATATTTTTTTAAATTAGTTGGTTGCACAGATATAAAAATTATATATTTCTTTCTTTCATTTTTCTTGAGTTGATTAAAATATACAATATAACATCTTCTTTCTTAAAAAAAAAAATGAAACAAACAAACGAGTGACGCGGCTTAGCGCGCTTTCACGAGTACTAGTATCATAATAAACGAATACCAACCAAGCTCAAGTATAAAAAATTGGGTTCAATTAAGCTTATTTTAAATTCTATATCATCCACATTAGTTAAAAAAAAAAATCATTTATTCCACCACACATGATAGGTAAATTTGATTGTATTATTTATTTATTTTTTTACAAAACAAATTTAAAATATATTACTTATTTTTATATTATTTATATAAATTTTTATGAATTATATAAAAAAAATATTCTTTTAAACTATTTTATTAAGGATATGTTTTTTTTAATATAGTTTAAAAAATTTTGATTTAATTTTAATATTAAAATAATATATAATAGAATATTTTATAAGAAAAAAAAATATTTTTTTTAAAAATAAAAAATTTAACTAATAAAATTTGAAATTTTGAATTAAAAAAACAAACTCAAAAATTAAAAAACCAAAATAGCAGCGTATTGTATTTTCCTTTAAAATAAGGAAAAAAAAAAAACCCAAGTAGAAAAGGACAATGGAGAACTATTCTTCTGTCATTCCATTATTAGTATTATTTTTAAACTAAATATTTTTATTGTGAGGTGGCATGTGTTTAAAAACCCTACGATATTGTCTTACATTTATGAAACGAAAAACCCAAAAGCTGTTTATTTCTCAATAAGCCGTAGCTGAACCCTAATTGCAAGTTCAGAGCTTCGATTGAAGATGGGTGAAATTGCTCCCGCCGCCGCCGTGAAGCTTCCGATTCACGGGAAGCGGAACGTCCTCATAACCAGCGCCTTGCCTTACGTGAACAACATTCCTCATCTCGGAAACATCATCGGCTGTAAGTATTCTCAAATTTCCGACAATCGATTCACGTGCTTGTCCGTGATTGAGGTTGTGCGTCGTGCTGATTGCGTTCGGAGAGTGGTTTTTTCATATGAATTTGTAACCTGGAGCTGAATTTCTTCTGCGTTTATTTGTTTGGGTTTATGTGGATTGAACTTTTACCATTTTTTTCTTTCGAAATAGGCGTGTTGAGTGCTGATGTATTTGCGCGGTACTGCCGAATTAGAGGATATAACACGATATATATATGTGGTACGGATGAATACGGGACTGCAACCGAGACTAAGGCAATGGAGGAAGGCTGCTCTCCAAAGGAAATATGTGACAAGTACTTCACTTCATTTCTTTGGCCGCAATTGTCACTATGCCTACTTTGATGTTTCTGTTCTTATTTATTTCCTAGAGATTCTTTAATGATTATTTTGCCATTTTTTTAATCACACTGGCTTCATATTCGACAAAAATGCTGAACTAGTTTCTGGGGATTGAGGTTGTTTTGGGGAAATGCAGTGTGCCTTTGCCAAGGAGCGGTGTTATTCATATTTATTAAGTTTAATAATTACGGTTTACTTTGTTTAATTTAATTAAAAAATAAAATGTCTAGAATTTTTATCTATTGTTTGACTCTCTCCCGACTGTTGCCTCTGCTCTCCTGTTTTATTTTCAACTTCTGCTTCTTCTAGTCTCTCATCACAGTGCCACCTCTTTTTTATTCATAAAGACATAAACCTGATGATAAATATGATGGCTGTATAGACTGTAATGATTAGGATTTTTGTGTTTTGAAATATGCCTATTTTCTTTATTTTAAAACTCTTTTTACCTTTTGTTTATTTTTTACATTAAGGTTCTTAAATGATTATTTTTGTCTGTTGAAAGTGTGTTATATTAATTGCTTATATATCTGTATTCTGTATATTAAATATATGTTAATACTTCTACTAATGACCATGGAGTTAAGAAAAAACAGAAAGTACATGCACACACATATATATTCTTGTGCTCTTCCCCAAATAAATGGTTGTAGGATATTAATTCAGTATATATATGCATATATCTATATTTTGTTCAAGTTTAATCCGTTCCTCCTTTTCTTGCTGTTGATGTCGGAGGGCGCAGAAGCAATAAGTTGTGTGAAATAGTAGTAAATGAGTTTTAGAGTTTAAACTAGAATTGAAGGTATGTTTACTTCACTTTTTGGGAGGGTTTTGTATTTTTTCTTTTATGGAATTCTAGGTTTGGTCATGTTTTTTTTGGAAATTATATGAAAGCTTTGGAGTCTCGTCAGATTAGCAAATTGTAGTTTTTTGTTGTTATATGGGCTCTGATATGCGAAATAGTTGCAATTGTATAATAATCCAATGACTGATGTTACACCTTTTGAAACAATTCGAAGCAAAATATATTGGTGATAACTTCATTTGATACTTCATATATTTGTATGGCGCTATTTTTAGCACATCGTTTCCATATATGTTTAACCAATAATGTTTTCTAGAAAACATTTGAATTGCCATTTAACATATTTTGTGCCCTACAATGTTCTTGTACTGGGAACTATTTTTTTGAGACGCGTTTAACGTGTGAGTTAACTTGATTAACTGTGGATCTGCCGAACCTTTGTTGAATTTCTATGCCCTCTTGTTATACTTGCTTTGTAGGTACCACGCTATTCACAAGGAGGTGTATGACTGGTTTAATATAAGCTTTGATGAGTTTGGTCGTACTTCGAGTCCACAACAAACTGAAGTTTGCCAAGCCATATTCAAAAAACTTTTGGATAATAACTGGCTTTCAGAGAACACAATGCAGCAGGTACATTATGGTAACCAACAATATCTTTCACTTACTTGTCTGGAGGCTTGTTAATGATAGATGTATTTGTTTCTGCTTGTCCATCCTTTTGGAGACACTGAAAGCATATCAATTAACATTGTTTTTATCAAATAATTCGAATGCAGCTTTACTGCGATACATGTAAAAGATTCTTGGCTGACCGGCTTGTGGAGGGTAATTGTCCAACACCAGGTTGTAATTATGATTCTGCACGTGGAGATCAGTGTGAGAAGTGCGGGAAACTCTTGAATCCCACAGAACTTCTGGAGCCAAAATGCAAGGTTTGCAATTATGAATAATATCTTCAAACAAGGGCTTGATTGGATGCCCACTGAGTAATAACCATATTAAGGATTTTGAGTACAATGCTGATTCGAAGTAAAATATAAATCTTTATTGAATAGAGAAAATAGTAAAACAACGGAATATCTTCCGTCTCAACCAAAGATTTCCAAAACCCTAGATGCCCTAAGATTTGTGACTAACTTGTTATTGGCCCTAATGGCCCAATAATCTTATTATTAAATCTAATAACATAATTAAATATAAATTATAAAATATTCAATTAAATAAACTGCTACCGAATAATTAACTACTATCAACTTAAAATGGATTGCTTCCCTTTGGATCGGTCGCCAGTAAACTACTAGCAGTCGATCCTCCTGACATTGTCGGGATTCGTCAGTATCAATTGCTTCCCCCGTGAAAGACGCCTTGTCCCAAGGCGGAAAGTTGAAATTGTTGTTGGAGCTCCTCTTAAGAGAATCATGTTGTGCGTTGTTCTTCCAAACCAGGCCACCGAACAAGAACTCTTGGCTCCCTATTTAGACCCCGCCGTTCCACTAAAATCTCGTTTGGTGAACGGCGTGGCGGGAGCCCTATATCCACATATAAACCTTCTATAATATTCTGTCGAACCCAAGAGACCATGAATTCCCCAAGCCGAAGTTAGAGTAGGCCATGTCTGAACTGCACACACCTTTTTCGGATCCATAACGACCCCTACAGTGGAAACAATATGATTTAAATACTCCACCTCCACACATCCGAACGAACATTTTTTCCTGTTCTCCGTAAATTGAGTCGTCTGAAATAACTTCATCACAAGCATCAAATGCCTTGCGTGTTCATCCCACGTATGGCTATATACCAATATGTTAGTAAAAAAAAAACGAGTACAATCTTACGCAAATACAGTTGGAATAGATCATTCATCACAAACTGAAATGTCTCCGGTGTATTAGTGACCTTAAAAGGCATTACTAGGAACTCATAGTGTTCGTTGTGCGTGCACAACGCCGTCTTTGGCCCATCTTCCTCTTAAACTCGAATTTGGTGTTACTTAGAATGTAGGTCTATCCTTGAAAAGACCATTGATTCAATTAGCTTATCTAAAGTTTTATGAATTATTGGAATTGGATATTTTACCTTGTTCAACTCAGGAAAATCAATATGAAATCTCCTCTCATCTTTCTTCTTTACCAATAGCACTGGGCTCAGGAATTGGTTTGAAATTGGGTGAATGATCCCTATTGTCAACATCTCTTTCACCATTTCACCATGCATCAAATCTTTTCTTTTTGCAAGTGAACATAACGCTAAGGCCGTACGGACATCGGACCAGAACCTGATTAGAGTTTTCTACGATGATCATTCTTGCATCTTGGTGGTGATCTTCCTGACTTCTCAAACCCGTCTGGATATTGTTCCGGTACTCTCTCGCGATTCACCCGGCTTGCACTGTTAACTAACATTGTTGATATGGCTTCTCAGGTCTTTACACAACTCTCTAGTTCCACCACTAAAGCCCAAAGCCCAAAAGTCTACATTTGTTGTTTTCAACGAGGTTTATGTGCCACTGGTGAGCGCAATAGGGTCGGCTTTCCCTGAAGGGTCATAAGCTCATTTCCTTGGTTATATGTCACTTTCATAGTTTCCCAATTGTTTCGTACATCGTCCAAAGTTTTGCAGCCATGCAACTCCTAATATGACATCCACATTACCAAGCGAAAATGTATAACGATTGGCCATAATACTTAGCCTTGCCAACCCCCAAATGTACGGCCCTACAGACTTCTGTACATGGCAGTTGTATACCGTCCCCGAGGGTCATTGTAAACAAACCAATATGTTGTATTGGCAATGATAATCTCCCCACCAATTCTTGCGACACGAAATTATGACTTGCACAACCATCTACAAGTATCACCACTTGTATTCCATTGAGCATTTCATAAACCGTAATAGTTTGTGTACTTGTGAAGTCCGCTAGTGAATACAAGGATAGCGACATCCACTGTTTTCCTCTTCTATCCCCCTATCTCTATTCCTGACAACTTACTATATCCATCATTCATTTGTTCTACCCAGGGGTCCCACGACTTCCCGTCGTCCATGATTAGCGTATGTATCTGTTTCATTGGGCATGCATAAGTCGGGTTGTAGGGATGGTTGCATCGATCACACCTTGATGAATCTTCGTGCCTGGATCGAAAGTTGCATAACCAATTCAACGCCCTTCCTTCCATGGCCACCCTTACTTATAGTACTTGACGATTTCCTATAACATCGTGTAGTCGAAACTCATGCTCTGTCTTTCCGATCCAACTGATTGTATCAGCACCATTAAATATCGAAAACGTTATATATGAAATCGTTACCGGGTTTGCGATGGCTAACCGTTGGCCTCCTGTCGGTGGCACGCTAGGTTTGTGCCTATTAATCACAACCGAGGATCCTGTGGGGTCATTGGCCATTAGTGCCACCTTGCAAGGCTGCCATCAATTCGTGAAATTGTTTAGTAATCTGGTTAGGTATAGCCCCTATATGAGTTTGCATCCGAGTTTGCATTGTTTTAACCATATCCACTTGTTGTCGCGTCTCCGTATGTGCTGCAGCCAAGGCAGTTAGGTTATATTCTAGCGTGTTGAGACGGCTGTCCACATCTCCTGAGCGTGTTTTCATCCTCCATTCTAAGATCCGGTCGGATCAATTGGTATGAAGTAAAATATGAATTTTTATTGAATAGAGAAAATAGCAAAACAACGTAATATCTTCGGTCCCAACCAAAAAGTTGATTTCCAAAACCCTAGATGCCCTAAGATTTGTGACTCTAAAGCCCTAATAGCCCAATAATCTTCTTATTAGATCTAATAATATAATTAAATATAAATTATAAAATACTCAATTAAATTAAGTGCTACCAAATAATCTAAAGTGCTACTATCAACTTAAAGTGGGTTGCTTCCCTTTGGATCGGCCGCGAGTAAACTACTAACAGTCGATCCTCCCGACATTGCCGGGATTCGTCGGTATAAAAGGCAGATAAAAAAAATAGTAAGATATGCATGCAGTTTTTGGCAAGTCTTGCTTAATTGAAATTGACTGGTCTGCTTCATGAACAGGTTTGTCACAATACTCCTCGCATCCGTGATACAAATCACCTCTTTCTTGAGCTCCCCTTACTCAAGGATAGATTAGAAGAATATATCAACACCATGTCAGTAGCTGGGGGTTGGAGTCAGAATGCTATCCAAGCAACACAAGCTTGGCTTCGAGAAGGTCTGAGACAACGGTGTATTACAAGAGATTTAAAATGGGGGGTTCCTGTTCCACATGAGAAATTCAAGGACAAGGTAAATTTAGCTGAATGATTCAGGTTATATGAAGAAAATATATAATGTCTGTCACTTGGACAAGGTTAATGTTCTTTATGTTGGCTGGCACTGTGATGATCAGGTTTTTTATGTGTGGTTTGATGCTCCTATTGGATATGTCTCAATCACTGCATGTCACACACCAGAGTGGGAGAAGTGGTGGAAGAACCCCCAAGATGTGGAGCTGTACCAGTTCATGGGCAAAGATAATGTCCCATTTCATACCGTGAGTAATTTAATTCGAAAGTAGACATTCTCTACATATTGATTGTATGAGAAGGATATCTTGACTTCTGGCTTTTGAGATGTGGCATGTGAATATAGTTCTTGAGTATTACGACTTTTATTCAGTTTGGCCACCTGCATGTGATTTTAAGTTGCTCTTTTTTGATCTTATTGCCCATTTGTGGCATTGTGTCTTGATCGCATTAACTTTTTTCAGGTGATGTTCCCCTCCACTCTTCTTGGAACAGGTGAAGATTGGACTTTGATGAAAACCATCAGTGTTACAGAGTACTTGAACTACGAGGCAGGTTAGAATTTCTGCAGTGGCTAAATGTTTATTTCTTGTTCTAGCTACATGTCTTGTTTCATAAATATTTTTTAATTAATTCAGTTTCTAAAATTTTCAGTTGCTACCTATTTCAGGGAAATTCTCAAAGAGTAAGGGCATAGGAGTATTTGGAAATGATGCAAAAGACACTAATATTCCTGTCGAAGTGTGGAGATACTATTTGCTGACAAACAGGCCAGAAGTAGGCACTATGAACATATTTCAAATTGCATATAACGCAGCAATCACTGCAATGAACTGCCACTCACTTATCCCCCTATCCTTGCACATTGAGCAAATTACTCAGTATCTTTTTATTTGATTTATTTTTTCTATACGCTATTACAGGTATCTGACACATTGTTCACATGGGCTGACTTGCAAGCAAAGTTGAATAGTGAGCTTTTGAGCAATCTTGGAAATTTCGTCAACCGTGTCTTGAGTTTCATTGCCAAAGATCCAGGTACTTGAACCTAATGCATGATAATAATGCTGCCTAGACAATGGATATATGTGATTCTTGTAAACAGTATTCATTGACAAGATATGGCATAGAATGGTGCTAAGGGCAGAGAATAGAGGTGTAAATGGATCGTTTTAAAATCTCTATACTAGCAAAACTAAAGTACTTTGTGAAAATTTTAAAATATCAAAGTGAAACAAATATCTTATGTATGTGTGAATCACTATTTTTGTATTTTAAGTCTTAAAGAGGAATGGGGAAAAAGCAATGACAAGTTTACATCTCCATGATCCTCTAGTTTCTTGGGGAAAGCTGGCTTACTACTAATGAGATATTATTTGTGTTGCAGTGCTGATGCTTTTGTCAACTATACTATACTTTTGTCATGCAAGTTTTGCACATACCAATCATGTTATTCTCTTGTTCACAGAAATATCTCTGTTCAACTACTATTTTTTAATAGTATTAAATCAAACTTCCACTAGAGTTCTGTATGCCATTTTTTTGGTAGTTTTTTAGTGAAGTGTAAGGTTTTAAATGTTAAGAAACTTTATATATTTTGTCTGAATTCTAGATCCTTTTTCCTTCTTCAGGTTCAGGTTATGGATCCTTGATTCCTGATGCTCAGGGTGCAGAATCTCATCCGCTTACAAAGGCATTGGGAGAAAAAGTTGGTAATTATGTGGAGCAGTATGTAGAAGCAATGGAGAAGGTAACCAGCGTGCAATGTTTACCATTTTTGTTCTTGTAATACAACCTTATCTTGAATTGAGCCTCATGTTACCATGATTGAATGTAGGTGAAACTAAAGCAGGGGTTAAAGATTGCTATGACGATATCTGGTGAAGGAAATGCATATTTGCAAGTATGGATGCTTCCAACTTTGCATATACCACTTCTTTCTATGCTTCTCCAAGGTGTTTTTCTTGCCATTGGCTTGATACCATTATCTATATGTCCACCTTGTAGGAAAGTCAATTTTGGAAGCTTTACAAGGAGGATCAGGCAACTTGTTCCGTGGTCATGAAAACTTCAGCTGGGCTAGTGTATCTGCTAGCATGTCTCTTAGAACCATATATGCCATCCTTCTCCATTGAGGTAAATTCATAGCTGGTGTCTGAATTTTGTGCATTGTGTTAGCTCAAAAATATTTCTCACATTATTTTGTGATGCCATTTCAATGTAGGTTCTGAAGCAGCTTAACTTGCCTGAAACACACATTTCTCTTAGCGATGAAAAGGGTGATATTGCAAGAGCTAAAAGACCTTGGGATTTCTTACCTGCAGGCCATAAGATTGGAAATCCCACACCATTGTTCAAAGAATTGGTATTCTGCCAATTGTTGCATCAATTGCTGTTTAGCTGAAGGAATGAATATGTATTGTTGCTTTTGTACTCATAAATGTTCTTATAATATGTAGAAAGATGAGGAAGTAGAGTTCTACAGGCAGAAATTTGCAGGAAGTCAAGCTGATAGGATTGTGAAAGCTGAAGCTGAAGCAAAAAAGCTTGCTGCAAAATTCAAGGAAACTAAAATATCAGGTTCTGTCTTTATCTTCTATATTTTCTTTGACTATCTTTTATAAAGAACACTTTGTGTTCTGTGCTGTGTTTCAATCATCTCTCTTTCACGAAGCCATTTTTCCATTGAACAAGGTATTATGTTTTCATATTTTTTGAAATCTGTCATTTCTATTGGTCATTTAATCTAATTTCCCTTTGATGTCCTTTGCCTAGGCTGATATTAACTCCATGGTCATTGGGTACATTTATTTAGTAAACTCTACTTGAGGTTGAAGAACCTTTTTTCATTCATTCTCAATTATAGGATCTTTTTACCTTGAGGAACCTTGCTTCTAGCTCTAGAAATGTATAGGATCTTGTGCTCCTGTCGACAACGTTGAGTTTGTTGATGCTTTGGATCACAGTAGGATTTGTGGGTGGCTAAACTTTGCAGTAGATTTTAAAGGAATAATTTACAAAAATGATTTGAAATGAATTCAATTTTAGTTGCTCGAAACATAGTTCAGAATGTGCAATTATGTTTAGATATCATTTAATTTAAGACCTTAATTCAAATTGTGTACTTGTGAAACCAGACTATTGAAAAGATACCGAATAATTAAATAATTAAAATAAAAATGGTGTGGTTTTTTGTGTTTTATTTCCTAATTTTTGCTGTTTAATTTTTTATTTTGGTCTAAAAACATCACATCCAATACCCATTTGCCATGGAAAACATCATTTCCAACAGCTCTTTTTACCTTAAAAACATCAAGACAAAAAGTACGAAACAAAAATAAAATCACATGAACACACCTGAAGTGTTGTTTGTTGAGCAAGTTGAATTAGAATATCTCCGTTTCTTGCCTTTTGATAGCAGAGCATTGACCAATGATCTCTAGGGAAGTGGCTGGAATTCAAACCTTGTTTGTTTAGGTTTTATATAAATATTGGGATGAAAGTGGTGTTCATCAGGGCACCATTTTCCCACATTTAGTTTAACACATGGCCCCTTAACAAGAGGGTGCTAGAGTGGCTTGTAAAAATGTTAAAACCTCATTAAAAGATGCACAGCAAAATTCAAGTATACAGAATAAATATGTGGATTGTAACAAGTTCGGAAATAAGGTTTCAATTTTTATTTTTTTATTGAATTTTGTGTTTTTATTGATGGCTGGTACTGGTCGGAGAAGTTGTCTTCTTTTGTTAATATTTCGGAATTTAAGTTTCTGTTTGTTTTTTTATAGATGGCAGCACTGCAAAGAAGGATAAGACCAAAAAAACTGCTGAAACAAAGGCCAAGGCTTCTACTCCTGCTGATACTGAAATTTCCATTAGTAGACTAGATATTCGTGTTGGTCTCATTACGAAAGCCCAGAAACATCCTGATGCAGATTCCTTATATGTGGAAGAGATTGATGTTGGTGAACCTCATGCCCGCACAGTCGTTAGTGGCTTGGTCAAGTATATACCCCTAGAAGAAATGCAGGTTTCCTTCATTTTCCACAGCTTTAATTTATTCACACCCTCATGGTTTATTTGCATAATAAAGCACTACAAAAATGACCTTTAAACACTTGCATGATCGTACTCTGTTTCAGAATCGAAAAGTTTGTGTCCTTTGTAACCTGAAGCCTGCAACCATGAGGGGCATAAAGTCTCAAGCAATGGTCCTTGCAGCTTCCAATGCCGATCACACCAAGGTATATATATATATATATATATATATGCAGCACAACCCTTGTACAATATTGTATATTTTTCTGGTGAAAAGAACGAAAATATAACATACAAAGACAGTCTCTGAGAATAAAATTATTCACAGGAAGCGCAAAATCATTTTAATAAATTTACATTTTCCAGGTTGAGTTGGTGGAACCTCCCGAAAATGCTGTTGTAGGCGAAAGAGTAACATTCCCTGGCATTGAGGGCTCAGCAGATGATGTTCTAAACCCAAAGAAGAAGGTTTGGGAAACCATTCAAGTGGACTTGCGCACAGACAAGGAGCTGGTGGCTCGTTACAAGGATCTTCCCTTCACAACAACAGCAGGTGTGTGCAAAGTTGCATCAATCAGCGATGGCACAATCCGGTAGGTTATGCGCCTTTTAAAGTTCTTAAAGTGCTCCAGATTTTGATCTGTTTATTAACTTAATGCAAAAGAAAAAAAATGAAATGAAATGAAATGAAAGAGGACTACAAATATCTTTATCTGAGTCGAATGTCTGGAATTCGAACTCGACTTGATATTTATATGGTAAAATATGTATTTAGATTTTAAGTTGATACGTTGAGTTAGTTTTCAAGTGTTATATGAACAGCAAGGTATGATGCTGCTTCCAACTTGTTCGATATAGATTGATTTTAATGTGATATTTGTCGTTTGAATTGTGTGTGTGTTTGTTTTTCACTGTTTCTCGTTTCAGTTCCGTCCGGACTATGAATGTGTCTGTTTTTCTTGTTTTGTTTCGATTTTACTTGTTTTTGTTTGGAACCTAGGGTTTGTTTATTAATATTATATATATATATATATATTATGTTTTTGTCCCAAATTAAAGGGTTTTTTTTGGGTAATTAGCGAAGGGAAGTCTATGTTTGTGTTTCCTGTGCCTTTTGGGTTTGACTTTATGAATAGTAAATAAAAAAAAAAAAAAAAAAAAATTAATTGTAAAATAAATTTGTCCTATAATATAAGAAGGAAAAAATAATTCTTTGATTTGATATTTTAGAGAAAAAAGAAATTGAATACTAAAAATTTGGAGTAAAATTTACAAAAGAACATAACCTAAGAGTTATTTTTATTTTTTAGTTTTCCGTTTTGTCCTTTGATTATATATATAAAATAATTGAATGTATAATGATATGTTTCGTAGTCTAAGTAAAAATTATGGATATTTTAGTATTAATATAAGATTAAAAGATGGTATTTTAAAGTGGGACAAAAGAAAATGATAAAAGAAATTGGTATAGATGGATGAAGTATTAAAGGGTGTTTTTTCTTGTTTTAATACTCTCTCCGTTCAATTTCCTTACGCTAGTGTCGCTAATAAGTTATTAATAATAAATTATAAATATTATTTTTTTATATGACTAATATTATTGATATTTTAAAAATATGAATTAATATTTTATGATTAAAAATTTTTAGAATATTTTGAAATATTTTTAGTCTTATCTCTTAATAAAATATATAAAATATTATTCCCTCCGTCTCATGTAATATAAGTGTATTAATGTAGAGACGAGAATTTAGGTAAATAATTATTATTTAGTAAAAATAATGAAATGACAAATTATGTGAGACGAACGGAGATAGAACGAGTGGACAAATTAAGTGGGACGGAGGAAATGTGATATACCAATATACTGAAAATAAATACAATATGCTGAAAAATCAATACAATATCAGTGTGAAAAAAAAAAAAAACTTACATCTTATTCTTGGTATATCGTAAGTCGATATACTGAAATGTTCGATACAATATTGATCTGATAGATTTTTATACAAATTTTTTTGATAAAATATACAATATAATATAAAATTTTCTATATACAGTATCGTGCTACCTTTATTTACATTATATATTTTATTTACTTAATACTCTATCTGTTCATTGCATTTGTATTTTAAAACACTAATGGAAATATTTTTATTTTTTCTCTTAATTTGTACTACCTATGAATATAATATTAATATTTAAACTTCAACATGCAAAGAAATAAATGGATACCTAGCTAAGGAACAAAAGTAATATTATTCTTCGACAATTGAAATTAAAAAATTAATAAAAAAAACTACATCTATTTACATATATATTTTCTTTATTTAATACTCTCTCAATCCCAGTAAGAATGACCCATTTGGTTACGGACACGGTATATTTAGATAGTATAAATTAATAAATTATTAATAATAAGTTATAATACTCACTACAAGAAAAATATTCAATTGTTGCGGATATATTTGTCACGAAAAGTATATGATTCTGCAACAAATTTAATAAATTGTCACGGAAATGTTGCGAAATTAGTTCTGCGCACTACCAAAAAAGGTCTTTTTGTAACGGTAAAATATTCGTAACTAAAACCCATTTTTCGTGCAAAAAAGTTTTTTGTGTCAACTTTGTTACGAATTATGACCGCTACGAAAAATCGCGGTACAAAAAGTTCGTGTTGTAACAAAATCCGTAACAAATATTTGATGGTCAACTCTCAAAATAAGCACGTGTTAATTATATTTCTTACGTTTTTTGGTATATAACAAAAACATCAATTATGTTTTTGAATCAACAAATATCCAACACAAATAATGCGGAACAAAAGTTGAATACTATCAGAGAAATATTTGTTACGACATATGTCCGAATCAACAAATGCGTTACAAATGTCTAATCTTGTCAGAAAACTTCTTGTTACAAGATTTGTCCGTAACAACAATACATTACAAAAGGACTGCCCCCTAACAAATAAGTTGTTTGTTACGAAATTACTCCGCAACAAAAAATCATGACAAAAGTCAGGCAACCATACATTACCATTTGTACCGGCCACTGTCCGTAACTAAAAATACACTACAAAAGACGTCCCTGTGTGGCATAGTAGTTTTGTCGCCATAAATAAATTCTATTTGTCTGTATTATTAATCTGCGAGACAAATAATTTAAAACTTAATCTTATCATAATTGTTTCCAAATCCATCAAAATAGTACACATGGTCATCAATACAATGATGTTCATAGTCCAGCCAAAAATAAAATATTAGTCGTCAACGGTGCTAACAAAACATCCCAACAAAACACCAATCCATACACTAACATAACAACCTACTAAATAATGATACGAAAAACCAAAAAGTAATACATAAATAGATAAATCTGATATCGTACGGAAGTACGATCTTAAGGGCAACTCATAAACACTACTATGAATGACCCAACTAGTCGAGTGCAGACTCATGGAGGCTGCAATCATGGGCGGCGAACCAACTGCAATGTGTTTTTAATAATATATAAGCATTTAATACAAAAATTGAAGTAATTTAATTTCCAAAAGATTAAAGTAAATAAAAAATTGCGTACATCCTGGTAAATCTATTCGATATTATCTCCGTCGAGTACATCACCGAGAATTTTCGCTCCAGTATTAGTTGGGAGGATAGGTGCGGTCTCCGGGACCATTACAACTGTAACATACATCTTAACAATGGCTAGGGTATCACCTATATAAATAGGTTAAACGAGCGCTAGTTACGAGGAATGTCTCCCTCTGTAAACATTATGGATGAATATAATAAAATAAAACTTACGTTTTAGCTTGATCTAGGGACCCTATCTTAAATACAATTATAGTAACAAATAAACTTAAAAAGCACAAATAAAATAGGCTGACCCATGAACATTATGAAAATAAATAACACATGGACCATAGGGGCCAACTCCCCTTACACATATACTAATATTTATAAATCATTACGATCATAGATCGGCAATCCTTCAGTAAAAGAAACGAACATAGCTCTCCAATAGCAACAAATTAACCACCAATCAAGCCCTACAAATAACGTTTGACCATACAACTACCTTAAACCCAAATAGACATGCCCTAGAACAATATAACCAGATGCTAGATATAACAATCTTACACAAGATCCATTTTATGTCCATTTCACGTTGTACAACTACACAATCAGAATTCATAAAATACAATAATCATTTTGAAAATAAAAACTCGGTTTGAAAATGGATGAGAATATGCTATATAAAATCATGCAAAACTAGCAATAGAAAATACATAATAAGAAGATGGTTCTCAGTTTATGGATGGGATCGTTCAAAACTCGGATAAGAATTCAATACTCTATAAACAACCTAACAAATATAATTGACTAATACAATTGTCGTAGCTTTCAAATCTTAAAGTGTCAATATAACAAATGCTGTGTAAGTAAAATCGCATTCACTTCGTTCCAAAATCCATACTACAATCCCTGAAATGTATTATACATCAAGAGAAAAACGTTGAAAGTTTGAAGAAATTACATTTCAAAACATAAGTTTGATTTTCACCAACATATCTACAAAAAAAGATAGCATATTTTGGCAAGATCTAAACTGGATAGTAAGAGATTATAACTCCCAATACTATGTCCGGCCATAAAAATGTATATAAAATACATGAAAGCTTGAATATGCTCAGTTTTAGAAGTACTGCATAATGTAGACAATTATCACAGTCATGGCAGAATAATGTTGCTCTCCTGTGAGAATAGGGAACACAACTGTGCATCTATGATTTGTTCGCCCATTTCGCAATCTTTTGCTGTCAATATCACATCACAGTTTTTTGTGTTAACTTATTTTGTCCAAAAACATCTCACCCAACAATATTTTCATATTTTCAAATAAAAAACGTTAAACGCACACAAAAGAAAAGAAAAAGAAAACCTCCGTAGTTTGACTTTTTTTTTTTCCATTCCATTTACATATTTCCAGCATTCAACAAGTAGATTCAAAAAGAATACTGGGAATGCAATATCAGGATAATTAAGGTTGTCCCAAGGAAATAAAATAGCGAAAAAGAAAGCTTTATGGGAATAAAAAGTAAAAACTCAATAATGAGAATATTACCTAAATAACAATATTATTTACTACAGCCCCAATCAAGAAAGGGCCAACCGGGCAGAGCAAACCACAGAAGAAGAAGAGGTCTGCTTACCAAAATGTTAACATCATTATTAGAAATTGGAAATAGGAAAATGTAAGATTTGCAACAGAATAGTCTATTGTAATAACCATGGAGTAATAAAGGCTTAGTGTTGTTAACCAACATAGTGTGAATATATATATATATATATATCACCAACAACAATATATATACATAATCCACATAGCCAAAGAAAAAATCATTATTTCAAAGTGATTGAAGACTGGTACACATAGATTGAGATTGAATGAAGTAGGTGGAAAAGAGAAAAAGAACAATAAATGTAACAACAACCAGACTCGGGACAAAAGTAAATGGAAGACTGAAAGTAAAACAAAATATGCAGAAAAAATTGGTTAAAGGGGGAAGTGTCAAAACTGTTTCTCGTCTTCTATTTTTCTTTCACTTTCAGAAGAAACTCAAAGACGACTTATCCATCATCGACTCTCGAGCTTAAGGTTTTTAGTATTTCCTATACAAACTGGAGAGTCATGACACATATGCCATGCCTAAAGACATCATTTTAAACAACACCAAGATGCAATGTTTTGTAAACTTCATTTTATGAAAACAGAGTTGATAAAACTTTAAAAGAACAATAAATTAGAATCTCCAGTCATATAATACATTACCTAATATACGATCTTCAAACAGTTATAAGTCCACCTCTGCTGCACCTTGTTGTTCAATAACTTAATTCTACAAATGAAAGTTGATGAAATAAGTATTATTCAACCATGAAAAAGTCAATTTCAGAAAACACATCCATACTGGGTATTTACCCAAGACAAATTATAAAACAAAACTCGTTATTTACCTAATAAAAATATGAAATAATTTGTACAAGAAGATTATCCAAAACCCTAGAACACTAAAGAAACTAAAAATCAATTTTCATAGCTTCAAAATAGAATGCCCTAGGTTTTAACTCACCGTTCCATTTCGTGAGAACTATAATGCGGCGAGGAAGATTTACGCTGGCCATAACTCAGAGAACACGAGCGTCAAACCAGCGACGGTAGATCGGAGTGAAGTGTAGAGAAGATCTTGTTGTGTGTGGATCGGGAGGCGATTTGGGGGAAAAGGAAAATGAGAGCGTGTGTATGTATGAAATTGTATAGAAATGGGAAAGTGTTAATATATGTTGGGAAAGAAGAGAAAGTGTTAACACGCTTTTTATCATTATTTTTTAAAATTATTATATATTTTTAAAATATTTTATAAATATATTTTTTAAGTGGTTAATATATGTTGAGAAAATGAAGAAAGTGTTAACACGATTTCTATTCTTGATTACTTTTTAATTATTATTTTTTAAAAATAATTTTATATAGATTGTTTTTTTAAAAAAATATTTATAATTATAATATTGATTTTTTGTTACGGTTTTATATACATAACAAATACATACAGGACCCCATGTCGTTATAATTGTAGTTGTTGCGGATAAACTAATCGAAACAATTAAAAATTATTTTTTAATTATTATTTTTTTGATTGAATTTTATATAGATTTCTTAAAAAATATTATTTATTATTTTACTATTGACTTTTTACTATGGTTTGGTATACGCAACAAATACATAGATACCAAATCTCGTTACCATTGTAGTTGTTATGGATAAACGATCGAAACAAATAAAAAAAATATGTTGACCAGCCCAATTTTTTTTTGTTCCGACAAAAATCGTAACAAAAAATACTTTTTGTGCCAGAACTATTGTTACGAACAATACATCAGCTACAAATGGTTGATTTTTTTGGCAGTGGCGCTTAATTCTCCGTGACAATGGATATTGCCGCAAAAGTTGGAAAAAATTGTTGCAACCTTCCGCGGCAACGCTACAATGCATTAATGACATTTTGTCGCGGAAGGTTTGTTGCAACCTTCCGCGACAAAAATGCCAAAACAAATTGTTGCAAATCAAAACAAATTATTGCTGAGACAATTTAGATAGTAAAATTAAATATTTTTTAAAATAGTAAAAAAAATTAAAATAATAAAATATTATTTACATAAAATATATTTAAATAGTAAAATGAAAAAAATACATTCAAATTAATTTTAATGTCAAATGAATACATTACAAAGAAAAAAATATTATATTAATTTTTTAATAACACTGAGGAGGCGGAATAGTTTCATCATCCTCGTATTCATATTCATCATCCTCCTCGTTACGATAATATTGTCCATTTCTACTTACTTTACCGGTACGACTGCCACTCCCACTTTCCTCTCAACGCATTTGATAAAGATCAAATGAACTAGTCATTCGGGGATAATATGGTTGTGGTTCGTGAGGAATAGGATGATTGAAAATTTCAAAGTGCATACGAAGAAATTTCGTCACTTACAAAGAAAAAAATAAAAATTAGAATCTAAAGTTTAAAATAAAATTTATCAATAATATTAAAAAAAACCTGATCTAATATTGATTAGTCACTCGCAACTTTTCCTTAATTTTCAAATGCTTATTTATTGATACACTTGAAAAAGATGCAGATGTAATATATTGTGAATAGGAAGGTTCAGTTGAATATTTGCTATTTTACCTCGAGAACCAAGTCTCAGGACACGGCCTTTTTGTGTTAAAACCATCAAAGACACTAACAAGTTTTTTTGGATCCAATTCAGAAGTAGAGATACATTCAAAAATTTTTGTAGCTCCGCCTAAGAATTAAAATTTTTGAAACCATTATATTCGATTACTCAATATAAAAAAAACATATTCTAAATAAATTATACCTCGAGAGCTGCAGCATCTTGAGTAGGTACTTCATTTTTTTTACTAAAACATTGACAATAAAGTTCTATTTTGGTTGTGTGCATCATAATTCGTCGCTCTGCAAAATAAATATTATTAAAATATTGTGTCAAATGTATATATATATATAATACAACAATTTATATTTACAAAGTATATTAAATTAAATATTACCATAATCTTTCGAACACGACCAACAAATTGAGCGCCCCATGGTATTGATTTGCAACTGTTGTCGGATGTTTTTTTCTATTTTCTTTATTTCGTTCAACCATATCCTGAAATTCTTTAGAACCCCATTGCTCCTTCATTTTATCCCATTTTTCAAGAGAAATCCATTTCGGACATGCATTATTTTTTCGAGCATATCCTAAATTTCTCCTTAATAACTCGCTAACTTTATTTAAAAATAAATTAGGAATCTCAGATTCGTAAATATTTCAAACCATTTGTCTCTTTTGTTATCAGGTACTTGTTTCATAAAAATCAATGGTTCAGAAAAATTTGATCAAAATATATTTCCTATATGTCCAATCAAACCTGGAATTGAACTATATATATATAAAATATTGCATTTTATTAGAATCCATATTTTAAAAGTATAATAAAAAAATAAATAATAACATTAAAGATTCAACATAATTTAAAAATTCACTCAAAAATACTCGTTGTAATCTATGTCCTAACATCAGTAATTTCTCCATCACCATTTTGATTTTCTTCGTGATTATTACTAGTCATTCCACCTCCGATTGATGATATCGGAAATAGGTGGTTGATTATCCATTGATGTAATTTATATTTTCTGCAATACAAAAATAAAAATAATTATACTAAAACATAAAACAAATAAAAAATTTATACCATAAAATATAATATATTTAAATCCAACACAGGTAAGTGCTTAAACAAACTTATTATAACATATTATAATATATATATATAATTTTCTCAATTTTATAATTCAATTCAAGCATCAAAGAAGCACATTCATAATTTTCCAAACTTAAAGAAAAAACAGTGAAGCAAATAATATTTTTTTAATATAAACCTTCTAGAAAAAATAATAAAGTAAATAATATTTCTAGAAGAAAAAGAACATATCCTAAACCGTAAAAAAAAAACAGTGAAATAAAATTTTAATTAAATATATATTTTAATGTTTACATTAAAAACAACACATCCAAAACTTATCTGTCATTCAAAAATTTTCTAATCCATAACACCTCATAACACAAACAAACACACCCTAGTTTATAAAATAATTAATACGCAAAAATAATTCATTCTAATTTCTTATGGGCATAGTGTTTCAGGATGAATATCTTTTATTAAGGCTTCAATCACGTTCATTGATTTATTATGGATTCCAACTTGTTTTAGACTTCAGCAATTACTTCAATTCTCCAATGTTTAGCAATAGCATCGAACTTAAGAGTTTGTGGTTCAAATGTAACTTTGGCTAAAAGCTGAAGCCAACACATGAAAGAAAGATGCCCTTGCTTCTATATGCTACTGCTACTCTTTTTCTAGTTTGTATAGTACCAATGGTATGCTCTTGTGCGATTCTTTCAACTACTATGTGAATAAAGTATAACTGCATACTATTTGAAAAAGAAGACTTACCTCAATAATAGTCTCTCATACATAGCTCGGAAGAAGCGTCTGAAAAGAAATAAGGAATAGTCGTTGCATAAAAATATGTGCATCGTAACTCTTCATCTTTATTAATTTCACTCGGGAACTGTCCACACAACGGCTAAGATTGGACACAAACTGATCTGGAAACTTTATCTAGCAAATCCAATCACAGAGCAATCCACATTGTGTTCGATTAAATGTGTAAAAGGCCTTCCTCTTTGGACCATTACTATCTGGCTCGACAGAAAGTTCGGGACAATAAAAAATAATTGACATGTCCTTCCAAGCATTAAGGTTATCTTTCATTTTTCCCGGAACATCCATAATAGTGTGTATAATATTTTCAAAATGTTTTTATCACATGCATAACATCCAAGTTATGGCGTATGCGGAGATCTTTCCAATAAGGAACATCCCATGAAATAGATTGTTTTGTCCATTTATGGTGCTCCCCATAGCCAAGATGTTTAGAACGGTTTGGGTTGAAGCTACTGAAGGCATTGTAGAAACCCATTCATATAGTGTATGCCTGTCGAGCCTTTCACGAGCTACACTGTCCTCAGTTTTTCCCTTAATGTAACTTCATCTATCTCGACGGAAAGAATAATTTTGCAGTAAGAAACGGCAGTGACAATTAAAATAGCATACCTTTCTTCCGTGGATTAAGCGAAAGGCTGGATTGTCGTCCATGCACAATGGACAACCTAACATTCCCGCCGTGCTCCATCCTGAAACCATTCCATATGAAGGGAAGTCGCCTACTGTCCATAAGAGTGCAACACGCATTCGAAACTGATGTTTAGTATATGCATCGTAGACAACATATCCATCTGTCCATAAATGTAGCAACTCTTCCACCAATGACTATAAGTATACGTCAATCAACTTATTTGGATTTTGCGGTCCCGGAATAATCGTGGACAAGAACATATAATCCTTCCGCATACATGTTCCTGTTGGCAAATTATATACGGTAAGCATGACTAACCAACACGAATAATTTGCTCCATATGTTCCGTATGGTGCAAAACCATCAGTGCAAAATCCTAATCGAACATTCCATGGATCTCGTGCAAAATCAGGATATATACAATCAAAATGTTTCTATACCTCTGCATCGGATAGATGACTCATCGACCCAACTTCGCTTCGATGATGATAGTGCCACGTCATTGCTTATGATGTCTCAACAAACTCATACAATTTTTTTCAGTATTTCTTTCAGTGGAAGATCTATCATTTTTTATGCCGCAACATACTTCTGCCAACTACCATATTTCCAATGTGACCCGCAACAAAATTTTGCACTTTTGTAAAGCCGCATCATCTTTCCAAAATAGCATGCATCTTTGTGGACAACAATCTATCTTGATACGGGTTAACTCCATTTTTTTTGTTAACTTTTTTATCCATAGAAATTGGCAGGCATCTGATGACCTTTAGGAAGTGCTCGTCCAAATAACTTGCATATATCATCATACGCTGACTCTGATATATTGTGATTGGCCTTAATGCGCATCAATTTCGTAACAATAGATAGTTGAGTTTCTCTGTCACCATCTGCATAAAGTGGGTTGTCAGTATCTTGAAGCAAATTGCTGAATCTACCTGCATATCTGTATCTCCAAATTCTTCTTTTATAGTGGAGGCCTCAGATGGATCATTTTTCAAATTTGAAGGTTCTGCATCATTATCAGGTTGATTGTATATACTTCTTCCATAATCTTCAGTAGATGGAACCTCGTTATCGGCTACAACCGGTGAAATTTGAGAACTTTGCTATGTAAAATCCATATTTGATAGTTTCTGGTGAAATCCCTCGTAAACAGATCAACTATTACTTCATCCGGTAATTTATATTTACCGTATTTACATCTGCTACATGGACACAATATTGTGTCACCCTTCATCCACTCCTTTTGTTGTGAAGCCCATTCAACAAATTGTAGAACTCCTTCTTCAAATTATTGACGCAATCCATGCGTATTTGGATCAAATCTTTTGCACATCCAAACTTGATAATTTTTCGAATAAATAATAAATATTTTAATTATGTATAAACTTAAATATAAAAAGGAAACTAGATAGAAAATAAATAAGTAAAAGAGTAGAATATTTATATGAATGATTAAAATAACAAAATCAACTCAATTTATAGAGTTGAAAACACATTAAAATTATGTAAAATCATAAATAATATTATTGAAAATTTTAATTATTAACTAATATTGAAAATTTAAATATTTTAACAAATTGAAAATTAAAATATTTGAACAATTGAAAATTGTGGGATTAGCATTGAAAGTTATTTCTATCAATTAATTTATTTGTTATCAAATATTTTCTCATAATATGTTTTCCTTATTTTAAATGTATCAATTTGTTTATTGTAAAAATTTATTATACATTTTGTTGATCATTACTACTAGTATATAAATAAAATAATATTTGAGTTAATATTATCTGAAATATATTATTACCAACAAATATGGCATATATATATATATATAAAGATATATACTATATTAACTTATAGTGGAAAAAATATATTAATTCCTCTAAAGTTGAATACTATATATTATTGAAAAGTGTAGCTATAAGTAAAATTGAAAATAAAATATTTTGAAAAAAATAAAATTATTGGTGATTTAAATTTTTATTGATGTTTTCAAAAAATTAAAGAACTATCACGTAAGTTTTAATAAATTATTTTATATACTATATTTTCAATAACTAAGTTACTATAATTATTAGTGCAAAACAATCAGAACAATGCATTGTAAAGTAATTTTTTTTTTATTTAGAATTATTGTCCCGTCATGTTGCAATAAAATTGAAAAACAATAAATTTATTCATTGTTTGTCACAGACAATCGCAGCAATGCATTGTAAAAAGTATAAAAATAATTTTTTATTTAAAACTATTGTTGCCGAAAGTTGCAACAAACGTGTAAGAGATAAATTTATTCCTTGTTTGTTGCGACTTTCCGCGACAAATTGGACAAATTAATTGTTGCAACAAAGATTGTTACGGACGTCCGTGACAATTAATTTATATATAATTTTTATTAAATATTAGACAGAAGTTGTGACAATATATTATTCCGTGACATTATCATTATTTTCTAGTAGATACTATTTTATTATTTTTTATATGAATAATATTTTTGATATTTTAAATATTTTCAAGATTATATTTTAATAAAATATATACAATATGAATATTATTTTAAAATAATAAAATATTATATAATAAAAATACATAAAAAATATATATATATTTATTTATGATTAACTTATAACTAATTTTATAAAGAATGATAAATTTTAAATATAGATAAAAATATTTGTTTATTCTAGAAAAATAAAAATAGAAGAGTTTAGGTGGCTAGTTTAAGAATTTAAAAATTTTATTAAATTAATTTATATTTATTAAATATGTTTAAAATAATAAATTTATTAAAAATAAAATAGATAATTAAAAAAAAAAAAAAAAAGTTGACGGAGGCATTATTATTCTTCCACATTTCAGGTTAAAAAGTTTATAATAAAATAAAAAGGAAACACCTAAATAGAGTTTTGAGTGAGGAATTAAAAAAAAAAAGAAGAGAAAAGAAAAAAAAAAAAAAAAAAAAGAACAATTACGCTGATATAACTCCAATGATTGGATTAATATTCAACGGTGCTGATTTATTCAACATTCCTGTGTCTGCATATGATCCATGGGCCACAATCCATTTTACATTTCAACGTGTAATGGTGCAGTTGAAAGACCACGTGTCCAAAATAAATGCGCCTTACAATTACAGGCCCACGTGCACCAAATTCCCACTTGCATTCCATCGCCTATCCTCCTCCGTCTTTATTGCTCCCTCCGAACTCCGGTGACCTCTGCATTTACACTCCCCATCTCCACCGGCTGTTCCCGTCGCCCGGTGAACTCACTCGCCATCCTCCTCACCAATATTTTTCACACCTGCCCGGTGCCGCCATTTGGGTTTGGGTGAAGTTGCATTGCTCCGCTCCGCTTTACGATACCATGGCTGTAAGATTTCCTTCCTTGATCTCAATTCAGCTGACTACTGTAATTGCTGCGTGCTTGGTGTTGCAATTGTAGCTGTGTTCTGGAATTGGGCATGGATGGGTGATTAATTAATGTTTGAGTAGGTTTCGTCTGGTAGCTTTCAGTTTTATCAAAATAAGAAACGAGTTGCTTGTATGGTTTTCGCAATTAGGTGGTTGAGTACGGTGGTGCAGTGTGTGTTCTCTTCTTTTTTTCCTTTTGGGATTTATTTTGGTTCTCTGTGCTTGATGGGGGAGACTGGGGCATATGATGGGACTTGGGAGGAAAGACAATGTGATTGGGAGGGTAGTTGTGGCTTGTAGGAGCTCAGAAATGATCCAGATGGATTTGGAGCATTTATTTACAGCCGGTGTTATTAGTGATGCTAAGATAAAAAAGCAAACCAGCAATGCTGGTGATGATGCATCCGGAAGAGAGATTTTATTCTCCTCTTGTGAAAAGCAAACCTACACAATCTTCTGTGGATCTGTCTGCATTTCTGCTGGTCTAATAATCTATTTCCTCACTTGTTAAAAAGCAAAATAACATTTAGATAGAGTGAATCCAAAGTAGGGTGAGGGCGACCACACCTAATGGCTGATATACAGACTCTGCTTTTGGAGATAACTGTGGAGTTGGGTGTTGGCCTTGGGACTTTGCTAAGTCTTGATGCTATAGCATACTCTTTAATTCTGTTTCTTAAGAGTAGAGGTAAAAATCTGTCATTTGTAGAGGTGGATAATTTTATATAGGCAACGAATGTGCTCGGCGAGGTTGCTAGAAGCCAAATAAGTATGTGATTTGAGTTCGAGGAAAAAGTTATAATTTATGAGAGTAGGTGCAAGCCTTGGCGGAGAAGAATTTTGTTTTTCACTTTGCCTGAAAATTGCAAATTTTAAGGCCTTACTAGGGAAGGCTAGGAATTTCTGCTTCAGCCTACTGGGATGAGCTATGTCTCCGCCACAAGGCACTGGCCTCACTTATATTTAATTATGCATGGAAAAGTGTCACTAAAAGTGACCACTTGGTATGCTATTTATTAAGTTGCCGCTAAGCCTTCAGGTACTTAAGCAACTCATGGTCTGTGTATCACAACTTCTTTTGGGTAAAGGTAGTGCTGCCATTTCTCTAACCACAGCGTACATTCCTTGTCGTCCAACGGTATTTGATACCAGCGATTAGTCGCATTACAACATTTGCAGGGGGTTTTGAATGAATTCATCAAGTGAATCGTGAGTTATTGAACATGGTCAGATATATAACTAAAGAAAATGAAGTTGTAGACCATGAAGCACATTTTCATAATTATTTTATATTCTTTTTATTGGTGAGTTTTCATGTTGAATATAGGGGTTTTGAGTCATGGAATTTAAATCGAGAAATTCTTACAAAGTTAAGCGGAAGCAGGGATAAAAACGAAGAAACCAAGCAGCGCACTCGCAAGTGAGCCAAAATTAGCTTTATAGAATTGAATTTAAGGCAATTAAAAATGAGCAGAAAAGAAATGGTAAAGTGGAGATGATATGCGAGCGGTGAGTGCAACGAGGGCGTTGGTGAGCGAAGGCGATCGGATGAGTAGTGAGCGAATTATATAAATAACAATGATGTTGAACGGTTGATGAACGATGTTGCTGATGGAAGATGGACGATAATATGTAAGCGATATAGAGGATCAGAGAAGGTTGTGTGTGATCTTCTCCAACCAAGGAAGGAAGGGTGGACGAGGCAGAACGCATTCAGTGGTATTAAAGTCAGAACAATGGTAAGAGCGGCAGCGTAAGGGCGCACGAAGGGCGGGAAAGCTCTGCGCTCCTTAATGGCTAGGTTCTCGTGGAGGAAATGAACGAGTGGTGTTAGTGAATAAGCGAAACATATATTTATAATATGCAATGACAAAAGTAATGAATGTAATCATGCTTTGCGAATTAACACGAGATTTTAACATACCGGTTACTTGACCTTGAGAGATTTACAACAATATTTCAATGACACCCAGAATTAGAACATTATAAGCAAAAAATATTGGCATTAGACATTTCTATGGCCTAATAGACAAGCGTCTATGCTCCTTTAGTCATCTTAAAATTTGTTTCATTAGTGGTTTTATCCTTCTGTGACCTTTCTTTAATCAGAATCGAATTCGGTACAGCAACTAAACAGGTAGACAAGACTCCCACATACTTAGCTATATTTATATGCCTAAATTCTACTAATGAATACGATACGGATTTAGGTTTAACTAGTCGATTTGATTCGTCTATGTTCTTCCACAACATATCAGAATTTCGAATTTTAACTTTCAAGCACAAATATGGAGAGGAAATGAAGATGAATATAAAGAAATCATGATATTTCATTGAACTATTGAAAAAAGTAAAGATCTATATTAATAAAACGGTAGCAAGACTGTAATTCAATTCTGTAATCTACACTGGAAAACAGTAAAGTGAACGGCTAGAGGAGGAGAAGATCTTACACCCTTGGCCAATCATATCTAGAGAACTCCTTTATAGGGTTGGCGCTCTCGGAAAACACTAAAAAATCTGCGAAAAAATATAACATTTGTGTGTAGTGTTATTTACAAATGAAATCTGGCCCTATTTATAGATTTCAAGATTGGCAGCAATTGAGAAGCTGTTGAAATTGCTAGGCAGTTAGGCGGTTGACAGCCGTTAATCTGTTGAAGAAATTGTACGGGCCATAACTCTCAGGTTGCTCGCTTCACTTGCCTCAGAATGTATGGGCACAGATCTTTCTCGCTGGTCTGACATGGCTGGAGAACATCGGCGCAGCTCAAGCGGTGCTGTCATCGCTAGCTGGCAATGGAATAGCATGACCACTTAGAGATGAAACTTAGCCAATTTTGGGGGTTGGTCCAGTCTCGCTTACTCAGCGGTGGATGTCTGGTCGCTGGCATAAGCAAACGGTAAGAACATCGCTTGCCTTTTGAGAAGTGCATTCGCTTGTCTTTAACACTTTCTGGGCCAGAAACATCGCTTACAAAGGCTGAAAATGTTAATAATCTCAACAAACAGACTCTGGATCATGCTAAGCGAAACAAAGCAATAAAGTATGTCATAAATCAATTATTGTGGTGGTTTTCACATAAAAATTCAAGTAATACGCAACTTTGTCAAGTGAAAACTATGCTATTATTTGAAGTTATCAAACCTCCTCACATTAAACCTTTATTCATCCTTGAACAAACTAAATCACATGAATAAAGATTTAAACCCGTTCAAGGCAGTCAAATATTGCATAAGATCAGTTGCATGGTTGTAGATAAGGTGAATCTCAAATATAAGCAATTGATCCTTAAGCATTCAAAACTTGTCAATCTATTTGACATGAGCAAAGTAATCCAGGTATAATCAACTTTGCTTGCTCGGCGGGGACTTTTTTTTGGACAAGGTACATTCAACTGAAAGGTGCGAATTTTTTTTTTTCACCGTTCATTATATTTCGCGATATGTCAAAGAGTTTCAAACATTGGGCCTGCTCGTGACCTTATTTAATTTGCATCGCAACCATAGGCCTTTTCAGTCCCTTTAAAAATAAGTCCACCCCACCCAGCTTCGCTTACATTGTTTTTTCAAACCATATTTAAGGACTTTCCTTTTCAATGTCATCTCATTTGAACAAAATAGATAGTCAGAAATTCGGTTGCCCTACTGAGTATGAAAAATTAATCTAAGCCACATATCTTAGTGACAAGCTAATCTAAGCCACACATCTTGATTGAAATCAAGGGATCACAACTTCCAAGCAAATTAGTAACTTCGACCGTATCTGGATTGCAATCGGTCCGTCTAAAGTCGGGTTTGGGTTATCCGAAAACGTGTGAAAACACCTCTTAAGGGTATGGTGAATTTGAAAGGGGAAGAAATTATCAAAGAACAGGAAGAAGAGCTTGAGATTCAGATGCAAGAAGAGCTTGAGATTCAGATGCAAGAGGAAGAGAAGCCATGTCAATTCCTTGTATTTCGACGGCAGGGACAGGCTTAGACTTACAGTTCGAGAGTTTAGACTTTCACTAATTTACTTTCTTGTATGATTATATATTTTTGGTTAGGTTTGTCCTTGTTTATTAGATGTGCTTATTTTATTTCTAGTAAATAGAGTCTAGTAAAAGTATTTAATCAAGAATAATTAGGGTTTAGGAACTTCATACTTTTTTGGAAATAACAGAGTCTAGAGGTTATCGGGCAAATAGTAGATTCTATTTGATTGTTCTTATTGCTTTCATCTTTTTTATCAAATTGCTCCAACTCCCACCATTGAATGGCTTAATGAAAAAACTTGATGACATTGAGTTTGACTTTACCTACCATAATTCGATATGCCAACAATTCCATCATTTTCAACCACATGAAGTAGGCATTAGGATTGTTGGTGCCATAGAATTCTGGGACATGAATGTTTTGCAGTTCCTCGTGGTTGTTTTCTGCTCGATCTCCTCTTTGGAAAAACTCCCACTCTACCTCGTCACTAGAAGATGCATCATCATCCTTGTATTGTTAGGAAGGATTCTTCATAGGAGCCCCTCTAACAGGTGGCCTGAATAGCAGGGCCGGAATGGGAATCCCAACCTAGCATTTGAGTCGCGTACTAGTCACTCTCCAATTGTGCCCACCATGTCTGTGAACCTCTAAACTGTGGCCATGAGGACAACAATATTGGCGTCAGGAATAGAGTTTTGCATGCTGGTAGGCATAGTTTCCCTGCATAACAAACAAACAATCAAAGAAAAGATTTTGCTTGCTTTGCTCAAGTGTTTTGACTCACACACTCTGTGCTTGGAGATAACTCAAGGTCAAGCCTGCTTGGCTTGACCATTCACAATTTCTTATTCCTTGACATCAACCAAGCCAAGGCTCAACAGAGGATCTGTGTACACGAAAGTTATGGACCAATGTGATCAATCTCGACTGTATTGAGGGGTACCCAACAAGAAACAAATCAAAAGGAAAGGGAGAGGGAATTAAAACTCCACAAATGCAGCTTAACTAACTTTGACTTGCATAAATGCTAATGATGTTGTGGCTCGGCTAATGCCTCTTTGGTTTGAGGATTTTGGTGGAAATAAGGTTCAAGAAGAAAGAAATAGAAAAGAAAGCTAAAGAAAGTCAAATTCTTGTGTGTTGTTTAGATTAAGAGTTTTATTGTGGAAATAAATGGAAAACGTAAAAATGAATTTAAAACTATGAAGTTGTTTTGGTTTGTTTGTTTGTTTGAAAATGCAAGGAAATGAATAAAGAAAAATAGATTTGGTGAATAGTTGCGACAAAGGAGAGTCAAGTTTGCGGATATTGTTTACCTATGTTCTTGTTATAAATTAGTCTCTTTGAACGTGCTGCACCAAATGCGATAACTGATAGTCTTTCCAAAGGACAGTACAGAGAAATCTTTAAAAAGTTTGCAATTGTGTTATTGATACTCTATATCGCAATGCTCGAATCTATGGGGGTGCTTAGAGTTATGACTGTGTAATGTATTGGTCCTCAATCACCTAATATTATCATTCCATACATGCTATAATCCTATTATTGGTTTTCTTTCTTTTTTGGTCCCTCTCTTAAAAACTTCTATCTTATTTATTTTTTGGCATGGTATATTACAAACTAGACAGTGGAAAGCAAAGCGATAAATATACTAGCTAAATGGTGAAATATTCGGCCTTGGCCAATATATGAATTTGCACGTGATTGATGCATAAAAGGTAACATGAGTCTGGTGGATGGATATGTTCTTGATATACACAGAGACACACATATAAATATATTTATGTATTTTTTGGTTCTAGGAAAAGCGCCCACAACTACCTCAATTTGGAGACTGGGAAAAGGAAGAAGTTCTCTATAGTGCTTATTTTGAAAATGCCAGGCGGGAGAAACCTGGAAAAATTCGTCATGGAAATCTTGAGGCCGAATTAAAGGACCTAAAAGTGAAAGTGTTGAAGAATGAGCGATACCCTGATCAAGAAGAAGGTTATGAAGTGAAGAGAGTGCCTGGTTCTGTTAGTGTAGTGGGTCGTAAACCTGCAATTCACTCCTCTCCTAAAAGGAATAATCTTGTACAATCTAGAAATGATAAATTGGAGGTGGAAGTGATTAGGCCAAGGCACAACCCGCGCCCAAGTCGAGAAGAAGGAGATCTTAGAAGACTTACTGATTCCCCTTTGCGCCCTGAGGCTGCAAACTTCAGAAACAGTTCCAACTCACCTCACCACCGTCATGGAAGCTCTAGTGCTGGCGACACGCCAAGGAAGGCAGCTCGGCAAAGTGTAGGATCCGATCGCAGTAGCATTGATCACTCGCCTCATTCTCAGACACGAGTTGCTGGGAAGAGTAGTGGTATTTCTTCTCCTTCTTGGGAAAGGAAATCTTCTTCGGATGGGATCCATGGTCTAGCTCCATTAACACCTGGGAGATCTCGACTGAGATCAGTTACGCGAGGCGATGATTCAGTAATACATTTTCTACACTTCTTTTTAATTTTCTTAATCTTTTACGATTTCCTTAACCTCGCACTCATGTCTGAACTCTCACAAGCCTGAACGAGGCCCTGCTGTTCCCAAATTTGGTGATTGGGATGAGACAGATCCTTCTACCGGAGAAGGATACACGCAAATTTTCAACAAAGTAAGAGAAGAGAAGCATAGTGACACAGGAAGAGCACCCGCAGCCACAACAACTGAAACATCCAACTCCAATGGTCACAAACAATATGGAAATGATAATCCAAAGGTAATCATCCGTAAGCTTCGATATCGGCTTATTGATCACAATGGCTTAATCATGCATCCACATTTCATAGGACCTAATTAACAGCTAGCTAGCTCCCTGTAATATATTCAGAAAGATAAAAAAACCAAAATATTTCACTTGTGTTTCTTAAAATAGTGCAATTTACCTCTAACATGAGCTTTTTCTTGACCTTTTACAATGGGTTTCTAATAGGCTTATTCGTCTACATTTTTATTTTTTTATTTTTTGACTTTTTGTAGTCACAAGAGAGTTTGCATCTAAGGTATATAGATAATGATTATGGCCGTTTTCTGTAATTTCCTTACACCTTCTTCATGTAGGGGTGCTCTTGCTTTCCTTGGGGGAGAAGTTGACATAAAAAGATCGATCTTGAACTCCATTTAATCTCATACATGGGTGTTATTATACAAGTTTCTGTTTTTTGTAGTGTTTGTGGGTATACACAGTGTGGTGTATTGTACATGGATCAGTTATGCAGTTAATGGGGTGGTTTATCTCTCTTGTGCCTCATGAGCTGGTATTATTATTATTGTTATTATTATTATTTTCGCTTTGTAATTGTATTAGACCTCTTTGCATTTTTGCATACTCACTGCAAATGCTCATTCAATGTGTCATCAATTGTGTAAAAAAACAAAGAAAGAAAGAAATCTGCATTTGTATTAGTAGTACGCACACACATACAGATGTCACGACTGCCTGCCATTCTTGCTGCAGCTTGCCAGTCCTGTACTGCCCTTGTGGTAAAGACATCAACATATATTCTGTACTTTTATTTTATTTATATGGATTAATATTTGGTTGTTCATGTTACTGAAATTATATAATTATTTGCCATTTATTGCTTAATTTTTGTGTTAAAAATTTATTTTATATTTTATTAAAAAAGAGTGGATTTCTCGGGTTGATCCTAAATCCAAAACGGGGCGGAACAGGTCTCAAAGCTTAACATTTTCTAATGGGCCGGAGGATCTACGCCAAACCAGTCCCATTGCCATCCTTGTTTATTTTATTTATGAGTGTTCTAATAGTTTTTTATTATAGCTCCTTGTTTATTTTGTTAATCACTTTTAAATTTTAATGAAAGTCACTTAAAAATCGAAACACTTGAAAGTAGTATAAAAATAGCTCATTTTAATGTCATCATTATTATCTATATTTAGATGTATAAATATAGTTGAATATATATTTATTATAAATACTAGCCGATTTATCGATATATAAAAATTATATAATTATGTTGTATATAATATAAATAAAATACATATTACAATAAAAATTTTATTCTTAAAAATAACATTAATGTAAATATATATGCATAACAATTCAATTTTAAATCAATGAATATAAAAGAATATACATTAAATACCAAAAAAATACACCTCTACCATATAAACAACTTTACAGAAAAAAATAAAATGAAATCAGAATTGCAAAAACAAAAAAATATTTAATAATTACAAAATCGATAAAAAAAAAAAAGAAAAAGAAAAAAGAAAACACTATGAATTTATATGTATATTAGTTAAAACCAAAAGTTTATATATTATTAAAATTATAAAATAAATATAGAAAATTAGTATCAAATTTCGATTATAAAAATATAATAAGAATAGATACGCATATGATGATTACATTGATTATTAAAAAAAAAAAAAAACACAACTATCGATTTAAATTTTGTTGTAAATAACTATCAATTTAAATTTTGTTGTAAGTAGTTTTTATACAATAATATTAAAATCATCAACATATACAACAATAATCACAAATATTGACCATTTTTTAAAAAAAAACACAGACATATTGAATCATTAGTGTAGCATTCTTTGATTGATCACTCACTGAGACATGCAACATGCGTCTAAATTAGTTAAGTCCATAAAAAATTTTAAAATTTTGATAGAATAATTGATATTTGATTTGCATGCTTCACACATGTTATATCTTTTAGAGATTTTCATATAAAATTTATTTTTCAGTGAGCCATATAAATAAGTAGTGATTACGTCCATAAGGCGCATGTTAGCCTTCTTCATGCACTATTTGGTTTATGAGATATTTAAATGTGATAATATTAATAAATGAAGAATATATTTCATCATAATCAATCTCATGTCTTTGTAAGAATGTGTGGGCTACAAATCTCGTATATGACAATTTTATTATCTTCATTTTTTTTTCTCTCAGATACCCATTTGAACTCAATTGGTTAACATCTTCCGGTGTTTGAATTATAGGTCTAAATATATTTCTTTTGGCCAGTAAATCTAATTCAGACTGGATCACATATTTTCATTTTGGTCAATCATTTTTTTTTTACATTCATCAACTGATGTTGGTTCAGTATTCTCGTCATTTTCCATTACATCGAGTGTCACATTATTTGCAAAAGTATTATCAATAATTATTTAATTTTGGTTATAACTTTTCTTTGTAGTGGTGAAATTAATTGAATTTTCAATAACTTCATTTTCTTCTAAAATAGGTTTTTCTCAAACATCCTCTTCAGTGATTTATTAATTGCCATTACAAGTTATTTGATGGATTGAATCATTAATTAATATCATTTGTTCTTTCTAGACTTTTTATCCTTGAAAGCCAAAAGTTTGCCACGCTTCAAGCGTACAGAAGATTCATTGACACTTTTCATTTGTCTTTCTAGAATATTTATTTTTGTCGGTAGTTGATTTGCAATTTTTTTTGCAAGTATGCAATTCTTTGTACTTCCAATTCACATTATCGTGAACGAGGATTTAAGAAATTCATAAGTATTTTTCAAGAAATTTTCTTTTTCAGTTGTTTTGTTCTCCCTCTATGTTAGAAAATTTATTTTATCAAAATGACAATGTGCAAACCACACAAACAAATCACCCATCAATGGTTCAAGGTATTAAATTATCAAGGGTGATTCGTATCTGACATAAATTCTTAAATAATGTTGGGAGCTCATTTTCGTACGCTGAGATGGTGCAATTGACACGTAAACCACGCATCCAAAAATCCTCAAGTGAGATATATTAATTGTGTTGGGGGAATATTTTTATAGTTTTTCGGTCGGGAAAATTGCAAAAACAAATCATGTATACCCAATTATTAATTTTGTCATTTATTTATTTTGCTGAAAAAATATATATTCTACACATTTACAAAAGTTGTTAGTTATGTCCTCCGGCCATGCGTGGAAGAACCGTCGTGTGAACGCCCGACCAAATAGCATAAATGACGACTTTTACAATAGCATAGTATATATATTTTTCCAACGAGATAAATAAATGACAAAAGTGATAATTGTGTATACGTAAAGGATATTTTTTGCAAATTTCTCCTTGTTGGTCTAATTCGCACAAGTGTTGCTGCATATATATAATATTGCATGTCTCCAAGTAAAAACAGAGAATTCAGATTTTTATCAATAATGGTATAGAAATCAATTATAGTCTTTTGATAAAAGATTTTGTTAGACTATTTTTTTGTGTGAACATAAGGAGCGAGATGTTCAATAATTATCTCTAAAGTCATGCAATAATCGTCAAATACTAGTAATAAATATTCACTTGCGAATGCTAAAGTACGCGTAGATAGCAAGCACATGTATGACCATTTTTTCGATGCATCAATGAGTATTATAACATATTACAATGGTTCACATGATGGATCTACAGATCTACATATATCACCCTGAATTCTTTTAAGAAACAATGGGAGATTCAGTCCTAACTTGGGTTGATGACAGCTTGATTATCAATTTGTCTTCTTATGAGCATGCAAAATGCGTGAATTAATTCAAATTCAAGATTTTTTAAATTTTTTTTAATGAATGACCAATGGAGTTTTCAATTATTTGACTTAATATGGTATTTCCAAAATGTCTGAGACAATCATGCCTAATCATAAATTCATTTAGTAATGTAGACTTCGGGTCTATTGAATATATTTCAATAGCATTTATTTTTACATAATACAAGCCATAGGACAACGTGAGCCATTTTGCAATTGAATACTTCTTTCTCTTGATGATTTTTGTAATTATTAAATATTCATTATTTATCTCATTCATTGTTTTAATGTGATATTCGTAGAAACGAATATCAGTAGAAGTCAACAAATTTCTCCAATCTTTGCTGGAGTACATTGCATTTTGTATTTCAAATATGATTCATTTAGGAAAACATATAAGGGCTTTTCTGGAGTGATGCGAACTTGCCAAAGATGAAAGTTCAGATAGAATTCCACAGGAATAATTAACAATAATTTTGGACAAAATTTACTAGTAAAAGGATGAATAGATAGATGTTTATATATATTGATAAAGATAACTTGGACTCTCTTGAATTGAGAGGTAGTTGGGAAGGCAACACGAGAGATTAAGCTCATGTCTCACAATCCTTTAAACATACTGACAATACAAGGTAAGACAATAATAGTTCCAGTACTATTCGAGAGGCCACGACTTGTTTCAAATCACTCAAGAACAACTCAATTTGGGGATATGAAGATGTAATTGAATCACTCAATATTACACTTCAAAACAATTCACAAGAATCTCTCTTAAAATAACCAGTTTATAAAATATCTTTGTTGAATGAATCTTACAATGATAATCATAGGATCTTTTATAGAGGACCTATGAGAAATAAAATAAGAAAGTGCACTCCTAAAGGAAATAAATTATATAGGTTCTAATCAACATTATTATAGTATTATTGACCCATAATTGATGGCAATCCCATGATTCTTGGCAATCTCATGATCTATAGAATTCCTTCAATTGGGCGATATTGATTTATGGGATACCTCCAATTAGGGATAGTGATTTATGCAAGGTCCAATGCCTTGTAAAGTGTTCCTAATTTTATGGTCCTTGGGACTTGTGGTCCAATTCTAGAAGAATGCATGGTTTGTTTTCATTATCGGTGTAGAGTTCAGTAGTGACATCCATTTGAAGTTTGACACATTTTGTAATTTCCAGTTGAAATTTACGGACTCGGCTCCTAGTGATTGGTCCATAAAGAATTATGATTTGATCCGCTTCTGTCATGATGGTCACATCATATCCCCCCCTCCCCCCCCCTGAAAAGGTTGTTCCATCAACCTCTCGTCACCTGCATCAAAAGGAGACATATCAACAACATTAAACGTAGCATGAACATTATACTCACCTGGGAGGTCTAATTGGTAGACATTATCATTGATACGTGCAACAACTTAAAAAGGACCATCGCCTCGTGGAGACAACTTAAGACTTGCATTGTGCCGAAAATATCTCTTTTCGTAAGTGAAGCCACACCCAATCACCTGGTTATAAGACAATCTTCTTGCAGTGACGATTAGCAGCTTTGGCATTCTGTGCATTGATTGCGTCAATTTCATTTTGTATTGTCTTATGAAGCTCCTGAATCTTGTGTCTGATTCCCAAAATTAACATTTTTTTGGCTCACTAAATGGTAATAGCACTATGAATTGCACGGTTATATGCAAACTCAACATGAGAGAGATAACTTTCCC